TTCTCTTCTGACCGTCGATGGGGTTTATGTGAAGTGGACGGGATTTTTACACTCCCTGTTCTGATCCACTTTGATTCCTGAGAAGTCTTTTTCCGAGATTCATTGCAAGCGCAATGGCAATGGTATACGGATGGATGAATCAATGAGGGCCGCTTTGCTGTGCGACCCAGAACTGACCCATCCCCGTATCTCGGCGACCTCTCTCGATGACAAGGGTCCCACTCCATTACAACTGTTAACCAGAGGTGTTGGAGCATTGCCAATGGCGACGCTGATGAAATAGTTACAGCGCAACATCAAAGAAGGGGAGGGGGCCTGCAGTGGAATCTACCGAGGTTGATCTTTTTGGTCGGTGGGAATCCTGACACAAAAGACTAATAATAAAGGTGTGAAGGAACCTTTCCATGCCAGCGGTTACCAGTAGCAACTATCTTCTGTCTCCGAATTCAAATGGGTTCCATTTGCAAATTCCAACTTGACTTCTTACTTTATCGAAGCCGTTTATTCAGATTACACTCTGAAAAAGGCTCTTGCTTCCCAACCATGGTCTGTGGTTAGTAGTACTAAGGGTCACTATCGATCGGCGCATAGTTAGACACATCCTTGGATAAAATTAGTTGTAGTGAACATAAAAAGGCTGAATGTGGTGATGTCTCTGACCCTGACCAGTCTAACCGTCCCTTTGTCTTCCTGACGAGACCACAGATGGTGAGCACCCCAATCGACCGCCAGGAGCCGGAAACGTTCAACTGTACTTTAATAACTGTATTTTTGACATAGTGAACTGATCAGTCGGTCTGTTCCACCTTATCCGCTAGAGGACAATGTCGCTGATTGTCCTTTCTGTCCATAGTTTTCAAGTTTATGCCGCTTATCATCAAACGACAGACCTTGTAGTAAATATAAGTCGTGCTAGCCGTTACCACAAATAGAAAGCAGCGTCTGCAACGTTGATTTGTACAGAATGCCCTTATCAACTCTATCGGGTTCCAGAAGAAATGCTCTCATGTTTTGGGAGAAATTCACTTTTGGTAAGTAAAGAGAAGTCATTCCCGAGGATGTGAACTGCGAACCACAAAATGACGACTAAGTTGATGTTGTTCGAAAAACAGATCGCAAGAAAACAATTATTTTCGAATAGATTAGTAGTTCTAGTGAATCCTTACGCAGCAGGGATGAACCTAGTCTGTGAAACAGCACAACACCCACTAATTTTTGGGGAATTCGAGTTCAGGGTCGATTCGTAGATCAGCTAGGAAAAGTGTTGGTTCCTTCAGAATGCAATGTTTAATAAAATCAGATGTATAATTTATTATGGGCGGAGGTGGTTTAGTGACAAGTGGCGCACCTCACACACGCATGTTCACGGGTCCAATTCCTGGATCGATACCTGCTTAAGCCAACGAAGCCTTCCATCCCTCCGGGGTCGATTAATTGGTACCAGACTTGTCTGGGAGGATAAAACATTCGCGTAGGTATAGTCATGTGGACTTACGTACCATATATTAGGTCGTGAAGAAAGTTCTTGCGGTTTTTGACGCCCAATTTTCAAATGCTCGCCGCGATGTTATTTGCTATTAGATTTCTTGCATGTTTTACACCATTCTGGAGCGCATTTCTTGCTCTATCCAAATATATAATCGGTTTTGCCTTGGAGTGGTTCCTAGGGTTTTTTAGAAGGCCGAAATTAGCATGGACAAACGACAGATCCGCATGATTTTTCTTTTCCAATCCAAGTTGGGCAGGAGTGCGACGGAAACGGACCGGGATATCAACGATGACTTAGATCTAGGTACGATGAATCAACGCACAGCACAGTGGTGGTTTGAAAAATTTCGTACCGGTGATGAGAGCCTGGAAGATGATGAGCGCAGTGGGCGGCCATCGGCCGTTGGCAACGAATAATTCAGAGCGTTAGTGGAAGAGAATCCACGTACAACGCTGAAGGATATTGGCTCAAGATTGAGTGTTTCCAGCAGGACGGTTGGCACCCACATGCCGGAGATCGGGAAGTCGAACATGCTTGATAAGTGGGTGCCGCATGAGTTGACTCAGCACCAGAAAGACTGCCGCTTCGAGTTCGCCTCCGCTTTGCTTCTCCGCAACAGGAACGATCCATTTCTAGACGGTATTGTGACGTGTGATGAGAAAAGGATTCTGCACGACAACCGGCGACGATCAGGCCAGT